CCGCTGCGCTTTCTGACCTTTTGTATCGTTTGTATCGGAAAACAAAACAAAAAACAATAATAATAATAATAATAATAATGGGAGTTTATTTTCCAACAAAGAACAACTTTCGTATCGGAAAGTTTCGTAAAATTTTCGTATCGGAGAACAATATCTTTGACAACGATGAACACAAAAGGCCGCCAAGTACCAGCAGAGATGAAGAAGGGAATGTCGACACAGTGCAGTTTAGGCTAGCCAGGTGAGAATAACATGAGTAACAAACTTTTTCAAAGACAAGATTATCGGGTTGTACCTGCTACGAAGAAATGAGGAGCAAAAAATATGTGACGGGTTTCCTAAGGCTGAAAGGGTCCTACTATGGGTTCCCGTAGAACACAATTCCCTCCCTGACCGGCTCAACTCTGACCAGTTTTCTTATGATGAGTTTGCTGTGAGTTATGTGTGACGAGTGGGCCTCCCCCATTGTTTCGGTGGCATATGTTTCACAGATGTTTGGTGACCATTTCATCATAGAATGCAAGAAAACATATGGAAGAGCATGTAGTTGTGTCATATGTCTCCATTTTCTCCCAGCCTGGGGCATACTATAATTTCAAGGCATGTGTTGTTGCCAATATGAAAAGGCAGTGTGCAACGCACCAAGGTTTCACTAATAATGGAGCAGCTTGTGCCGACACATTTTGCCGCTTGACTTTTTGCTGGGTTCGACAGATATTCGAAAGAGTATTCAGGAATACAAATACTGAAATATATGTGCTGGAGGCCTCACATACAAATAATGAGAACCATGTGCTTTTGGTGTAACAGGATGTTTCAGTGATACTTCTAGAACTATGGCAAAAAAGTATCCTGGAGTGCAGATACTGAAGCATTCTTTTATTTCAAAATGGTGATGTTCCACACAAATATTTAATAATGCACCGCAGAATAGGCAACAATGTAAGTGGTGCAAGGCAATTCTCAATAGACTGTGTTAAATGCCCTCTACTGTTCAGCATCATTTGGTCTGATGAGCTTCAACGACACCCAGGGACAATTTAATTTGATGTGTTGATTCTTTTATCTCCCGGACCTAGTAGGCGAGTTCAACATGTCGTCGGCTGATTGGGTGAGGGTTGTGGGCTGCTAATGACTGGAGGAGGTGAATTGCACGTAAAATGGCACCCCTGACAATAAGTGTCTACAGCTATGTTCGAGGCATTGTTGTGTTTGTACCTCTCTGTACACCTCATCTCCAGGTTTTCCAGCATGGTGGAGGAAACCGACCGAGGAGCGTGACATACAGATGAATTCCGACAAAATATACAATAAGGTATCAGCATAAAGCAAACAAAAAATTAACACTGCCAAAGGACAAATATGAGTGTGCACTGTCATGGTCAGTCAGCAACTCTGACCAATTCACAAATTCTGGTTGGGGAGGTGAGAAGGGTTCAGTCCTAGGCAAGTACAGGTTGCAGTACCTGAACTTGTCGCTTTCTGTCGGTCTTTGCACTTTTCCTTTCTTGAACTCCTATTCACAGCTATGTTCGCTGACACCGGCGGTAACCCATTACTGCCCCCGGTGAATGCTATTCATGCTGGAGGCCAACGACTAGTTGACAGTTACCGTCTGCCCTAAACATCCCTTCTTTTTGTCTTATGTCCCTATTCGAGCCTTTCCTTCTATTGCCGACATTCCGGACCACTGAAAGAGGCAATGTCGCAAGCGAACAATGTCGACCCTCATGGACCCCTACCGTCGATTTATTTATTATTTGAAAGCCATGTCTCAGTGAATCTTGTTCTGCACTGGTCTTGGTTTTGCTGCTAGTGAGCTGTTGTTGCAGCTTATCTATTGTCACTCTCAAGGTCTATGATCCTGCTGTATACTAATGAAGGGGCCCTACCACTGCTCTTTGCATGTGCTAGTGGTTCACAGCCTGTTCCTGCTCCAATCATGACGGACCTTCTGAGGACATTTGACAAAGACGACTTTGACAGCTTTGTTTGTGACCTTAGAGAAGCATTTACTGATGACGTGATTGATAGTGTCGAGAAAAGCACACGTATGCAATCATCCTCTCGGGAGTGGCATTTGCACAGGAGAGCCAGGGTCACCAGCACAGTATGCCATGCCTTTAAGACAACAGCTACGAAGGTAGGGAAAGAGCCAGGGCCACATGATATGACGAGCCTTCTGAACGCAGTCTCATGCATGAGCAGCTTTCAAAAACCATCTATGAAAAGAGGGAAGGGCATGAAATTTGAGGCTGCTGCATTCTACATGACTTTACTGATAGCTGATGGACACCAGCCAGTGCTTGAAAACAGGGGATTCATCACCTGGAAAGACTTCCCTGTTATGGGCTGCTCTCCCGATGGTATAGTCAGTTATGATTGCGAGTGTTGTCTTGAAAAGCTGACCTTACTCGAAGTTAAGTGTCCCGACACCCAGAGAACTCCTTCTCTGGGTGTCGGCCTAAACCAGCATACATGACACAGATACAAGTTGCAATGGGAATTTTTGAACATCACATCTTGTCACTTCTTTGTCTACAAGTCACCAGAAGACTGGAGACAAGTGACTGTTGACTTTGATGCAAAGCACTTTGACACGTGTGTGCGTACTGTATATACAATGTACTCCAACTACCTCTTTCTCTCACTTCGAAGCAGTCTACAGAACATGGGTCGCTCTTTTGCTGCTTAGATGAACTCATGTTGAGTGTTATCTATACTTCATTCACCCCTAAGTTGACAGTGCGGTTTAAAGCTGCATGCTCGTTGGACGCTCGACTGCCAACGCTGCGCCACGTGACCACCTCCCTCTTCGCACGCTTGCGCCCGTTGAGCGAGGTCAAACAATAAAATTGGTCTGGCAAACATGTAGCTTCCAGCGCAATGTCAGTTTAGGGGTGAACAAAGTATACAGTGTGTGTTCAGTTTTCATTGTCTAGTTACCATAAAATTGTTCACCGTGTACGCACTAGCAGTTGCGAGGTTTCCTCTCAGCCGCCAGATATGCGAGACTGTGCTGTACAGATTTGAAAGCAATACAGTTGCTGACCCAAAGGAGATTGCCAAATCAACCATTTCATTTTGTATGTAACGAATAGGATCTCCGGAGGAGGAACCCCTGAGTATTCATATGCTGAAACGAAATAAAAATGCATATACAATTACAACAGGTTTCGCTGTCATTCAGTGTGAACCAATGGAATTACCCTTCAGAGCAAAAGCTGAAAAGAAATATTCCGCTTCCACCCCAGATCCCAAACGGTTGAAGCGATGGTGAGAATCGGGAGTACTACAATCGCGTTCATAAGTGCTTCGGGGTACTCTAAAGATAGCATTGCCGTAGGATGCCCACGGCGACGCCATTTTTACCATACCCCAAATTGCTTGCAAACGTTATTCTAAGACATAAAGGGCCCATGCAACGATTTCGAGTTCGAATTTCACGCATCTTGCGCAAACATACTGACACAAACGTGGCACAAGTATGCTCGTATTTAACGTGCTGAGCCACAAGCTTCGTTGTTGCCGTTTAATATCAAGAGTAAAAACGGACTATTTCTTTTCTTCTAGCCTTCGCAAAACATGATCACATAGCCACAGGGCCACAGAGTGACGTAGCCACAGGCTACTTCATTCACCCTCTAGTGACGGTGCAGCGAAGGCTATAAGCGAGAGCGAGCTCGCGCTCCTTGCTTTGAAACGTGTCTTCAGAGTGCGAGCGCTCGTTCCACAGAAGCCTGCTTCGAAGCCGCAAACTCGTGCCCGCAGCTTTCGCTGCCCTGAAAATACGGCATCGATGAAGCCATAGGGATCACCCGTGGTTGCGTCAGCCAAATGAGACTCGAGGATTGGGCACGAGTGCTGCATCATCGCTCGCTTGGACTCGATAACAATGAAAGCCTCCGTATGGATTCGGGTTAGAGCTCGTGTTCAATCACTGCGATGGCGGAAATGGCCGAGCTCCAACAGTGCGCGGGCAGAGCACGTGTCCTCTACATTGTCAACCCTAGCGCGTGGCTATGACAAACATTGGCGGCATAAAAGCGTAAAACCAGGTCACGTGACTGCTTGTTCGGGGTGCGAGTTGAGGGGGTGAAAACTGCTTGTTTTTCTTCAATTTTTGAAGCTACTCTTAGCACGCGGTGACATAGACTAATGCACTTCTCGATTAATATGGGCCTCAAGGATTCTTTCCGTACAGTATTTAGCGAAAGTGAGAAAATCGTTGCATGGCCCCTTTAACGCAAGCAAGCAAATGAACGACAACCACACTGGCACACCTGGGACAGGAAGAGGGACTCTTCTCTGCTTTCAGGTGTACAACCATATTTAAGGGCATGTACGGCATTCAGAATGCTCGTGTTGTGGTGGTGTTTAACCTGCTCTCTCTTCATGGTGCCTGTTCCATCTGCGTGTTTAGTGCCCTGGGCATCGGGAATGTCTGCCTAGTCTCTACAGACCCTTCTAGAGCCTTCCATGCCTTGTCTAACTGTAGGCACTTTCACTACAAGTGAACAATTCACTCTGAACTCACCCGATAGAAATTGGAAATTCAACTCACTAGTTCTGTCAGGATGAGACAACGCAATTCAGCACATTCAGCTTTCAAAGCAGCTTTGCTGTACAAGTGTAGATCAAGCAGTCACATTGAGATTAGGAAGACGGCTTTACAAACCATGAAACAAGCATTCTCACACTCTATACATATATACACACTCCATACATATATACACAAAACAGCAGGACAAACATGCTAAAAGATGTCGTTTCAGAAGCACTAGTTATATTACTCAAAACTTCTTAAAAAAACAGCACGAGAAGGGTGTATCATGGAACCAATTGCGCCGCGCAGCAGTATGCGGTATACGCCGTAAATATTGCTCAAATTAAATTTTTTTTTTTTCACGGAAAATGTGTCTTTTGACTTGTGCTTTCTATCCAGGCTGTTTGCAAAAATTTTGTTTGGTGCTGGAGTGGCCCTTTCACACATTTCACCCTTAGGTTTCTTTGAGCTGTGGTCCCTTGATGAGAGCAGGCTGCAGGTTGCAGAGCCCAGCAACAACAGCTACAATGTGGTCAAGGTGGTTGTTCTTTGCAAGATATGACGAGGGCACATACTTCAGTATCCGGAAGCATTTCATGCGACGGATCGATCTTTCCACATGTATTCGCAGTTTGGCTAGCCCCCGGGACACCACCGCATCCCGTGCAGCAAGCTGCTTTCCCTTCGTAAAGGAAGGCAGCGCAAGCTCTACTCCAATTGGCAGAATGTCAGCGATCGTGAAGCCCCTGTCAGCAAGGACTTCATCTCCATAGTCTAAGTGGTGGAGCAATCCAGAGTTTGCCGTCATGTACGGATCACTTGCCCGCACTCCGTAGGCTTTGGAAACAAACATGATGAAGCCGTTGGGAGCGACAGCATGGAGCACCTTGACCGTGTTATGGCTTTTATAGAAGCTGAACATCTTTCCTCTCCTCAAGAGGTTTCGTGGTCTATGACAGAAAGTGGTGGTCCCACAGGAGACACCCTGGCACCTTGGTTCACTGCAGGAGCAGATGATGGCTTTGTGGTGAACTTGGCAGCGCTTTTGGGCACCGTCCTCCTGCCCTCGTGTGGCACCCTCTGTTTTGACAAAAAAAGTAAGCATGGTTTGAAAATCATGGCGACGAGACCCTTTTCTGGGCACAAACGCTGAACAATGCACACAGAGGTAGGAAACGACGCTGGCCCTACTTCTTGCAGAGAGACATAGCAGAACGTGAGATGCGGCTTCCTTCGGGGTGGCTTTCCGCAAATCTTTTGACGTCCAACCCCTTACACAGCGCCTTCCTGCAATAAGCCTACATAGCGTTTTGTTTTCGCATGTCCACCACTCTGGCTAGCCAAATACATGGTTTTCACGTGTCGTCATTGTGGTCGCCATAGGTCTCATGAATGAGGTGGAAAGTATGTTGCCACACTGCTCTGCGAGCATTTCATGAAGCTGGATGGCACGTGCCAAGGATGCCATTTCTGGTTACTGAGTTTCGTCAGCGAAAACTGTGTATATTTTACAGCGGTATTCGCGACTCCAGGCACATGCTTTTAGGCCCTCAAACTTCAGTTTTATGCGATGTCCGCCATGCGATCGGTCGAAGGTTTTGATGCTGAAGTGCAAGTTAGCGCGAGACCCTCAACGATCAGGTTCGAATTGAGAATGTTTGGTGCTGTTTGCCCGTCTGCATCTGCGAATAGCTGTTATGGGCTCTTCCCACGCCCTGAAATGATGGCGTTGGGCATAGGGCGTCTGTCATCAATAAACCCGAATGTTGTAAAAAGATTTGTTACATTTGGCCGCGGTCAGTAGTAGATCCTGGGTCTGCTGGTTGTGAGGCGAGGGCTTTATTATAAAACTACTGTCACCTTAACTAACTCCTTTAGAGAACTTCAGGTGGTGAGGATACCTGCGCATACGAGTCTCATGCTACGCACGCTAGATATGCTTCCTGCATTGCCCTGGGATGCCGCGGAAAAAGATATTCATTTTATTTATCGATAACAGGTAGTACCAGGCAGAACAAGCCAGTGCGTCTCAAACCGACAATCACCAGCATGCTTACTTCACCACTCCTTACTATGGAGCACAGGAAAGCCTAAAGATGTGAACGCATAGCACCTCGTCACGCAACCGCCCATGCACCGAAGGTGCGTACAAAGGCAAGCAGCTCACGCTTATCGTTTGCCGTGGTCCATGTCGGGGTGAGATGCTAGTACATCTGGTATAACTGTGCGACGCCTCTCTGGTGTGTAAACCTCCGTAGCCCGGTGAAAACTGTTCTACCAAAAATGAGTCGCGCCGCGATCCGTCAAAGCTTCGGAAATGTGTTTGGAAAATTTGGGGAGTTTGAACTCTTTTCAGGACTTTGTATTTTTCAATAGGTAGCAGCCCGTGGAGCCACAAAGCATGCCCATCCCAACATACTTTACGTACCATAAAGCACACCTGAGTGGTTCCCACAAAAGGTTCATGCACATGTCAAATTTTGTCACGGGGTTCACACAGATTAATCACATCATCATAAGGCCAACAGAGCACTACTGAAAAAAAACCATTTGAAATTCAAACGGGTAGCAAACTGGTAAATCAAACGGGTGCAAACTTGTCGACCTGTTTGGATCAAACATGATTATGGGATACGGGTAGCCGTTTGAAACGGTACCCGCTCGAAACGTTACCCATTTGTTACAGGCGCCCGTTTGATACGGGTGCCCGTTTGATACAGGTGCCCGATCGACCTTGCACGTGACCACACGTTTGAACGTGCCATTCGAATCGAGAAATCATGCGCTAGCCCTAAACGGGGATCGTCTGGTAGGTTGGTTATCTTAAACTTATTTAAGACGTTCCGAAACTCATAAACCTATTTATAACATGGAGGAAACACGTAGAACAAATGTGCTCACGTAGGTGCTTGCAAATAGACAGGAAAACAGGCACAAAAGATTGTTTTCAATTCTCTTCGAAGCTTATTACGTCTTCTGTAGACAAGCACAAACGTGCAAGCGATCTGTGAAATGTGAGAGGCACTCTAAGCTTTTATACAACTGAGAAGATAGCAAACCAAACAAGAGCCGAGGTAATTCTAGACTATGAAGGTAGACTTTCGGGAAATTATTCGCCCGGCTGCCGCGAGAATAGTGGCTGCATAATTATATAGATAATCTGGAAGAGTACGAGCAGAAGAACGGTCAATCGTTGCCAAAAAATAGGTTGCAGTGCACTTACCATAAAAATAGCGGACTTGAAAGATGTAATCCGTGATAGTTGTCGACACGGTCAAAACAGGACAACAACCCAAACACAAATGAGAAGGAACGGCTTCTTGGAAGTTTCAACACGATGTGGCGCACAAGCTGTCATTTGCCGAACCCAACCAAAAAGCAAGAATTCCTGACTTCTTCGAAGAATCGCTTGTTGCCGATATAGACGTAGGACTTTTCGAACACTGATAGCTTTGGTGCACATCCAATACGTTGTCGAGAGACATCCTAATAAGACCGCATGGTTAGGCGACGAATCGAAGCAGGTGGACGCGCTAATTTCGAGCTGGAACTGACAACAAGCAGACAAAGAAAAAAGCGGCATAGAGTAATATAGTAAACGTCAAGAGAGGACACAGGAGCCGATTCGCGGCCCAGATAGTGCGTTTAATACCCTCCGCTATGTGGCGCTTTTCTGCAATTTGGTTAAAATTACTTAAAACTCTTTCCGTGAAAAGTATTTATTTTTTTAAATGGCAATCATTTAAAATTGTTTAAAGTACTTCAAACGACTAAATAGCTTAAATTAAATACGTCACAAAGACCACCTGATGAATGGCGCCTGCCATGGCCTGTCTGCCTGCACGCCGTCGCCTCTGCTCGTCCCTGCGTCGTTCGTCTGTGCCGTGCGTGACGTCCATCTGTGCTTTCTGCTGCATCATGTTCGGTCGACTTTGCATCAATCAAGGTGACGCATGACCGCCCGCGTGCTCGCATGCTCGGCGTGAATTCGTGCAGCCGATCGGTTCGAGCTTCTCGCGCTGTTGTTTCTGCCGGGCTGTCTGGCTGCACTTCAACGTGTGTGCATGTTGATTTTCGATGAGATTGATTTAAAAAAATAATACAACTTACGACTCTGCACACGACATTGTCCATGGGTTCACAGATGACGGTGTTGAACGAACCTCTAACATTCCAGATAGAGCCTTGGTTGTCATGCTGTCTGAAATTTCCAGGAGGTGCGTTTAGCCCATTGCATACACTGTTGTGCACACTTCAACAACGTCTTCTGTTTAACGCAGTCTCCTCATTTCTCTCATTCGGGAGCTTAAAGGGGCGGTGCAACGATATTCAATTGGAATGTTTTTCACTTTACACGAGCTTACTGGCTCTAGTGTGACTCAAGGATACTCGCACGCAACGCCACTGACCAAGAAACTCCTTTGTTGCGCTGTAATTTCGAGGACAAAACCGAGTGTTTTCATTCAATCTCTCCCTAGAAAAACCTGATGACGTAGCTGACCGCCCAGTGACGATATTTGAATATGGCGCATAGATTGGACCCGAGCATGGCGTGGACACTCGATTTGGGCTCGTGGTAACCAATAGCTCGAGAAACATTCAGGTAGTGTTCTGTGTCCAATCGCTGCAATGACGACAACAGCCGAACCATAACAATGTCTGGAACTCAGCGCGTGTCCTGTGCCATGCCAACTCCAGCGCATGGCTATGATCAACATTGGCGGCATATAATTGGCTCCAGATCACGGGGCCGCTTGTTCTGGCTGCGAGTTGAGGAGGTGAACTCTGCTGGTTTTTTTTGTTTATTTTTTTCTGCGACTTCGATTGCGTGTGGTGAAAACGAACGGGTATTTTACAGATGATTAACGTCAGGGATTCGTCCTAAGCGGTATTTGAGCAAAATATAAATATCAGTGCATCGCTCCTTTAAGACTGTCGGCTTCACAGTAAAGGCTGTGGTCCGTGGTTAGGGAGCTTCAAACATAAGCTTGGTGTGTGTTATGATAAGCCATTTTTTGAAGTTGACAACGAACAGGTTTACTTTGTCTTTGATGTTCCGCACTTTCCCAAAACAACCAAGAGCGATCTCCAAGCCCACAAACTTTGCATTGGAAATGAGGTCATTGAGTGGTCGTCTATTGTTAAACTTTATTGTTCTATCCATGAGATGAGCTTGCAATTGGCTCCGAAACTTTCTCAGAGACACATTTTTTCAAGAACCTTTCTGTAACATGGAAGAAAATTGTGCCCCACAGGTACTGAGTGCCTCGCTCTTTCTTGCAATCATATCCATTGTTTATGCCAAGGATCTTCCTGAGGCAGTCATGGCTACAGCCTATTTCTGTGATAGGATGTGCATACTTTTTGATTTTCTAAATAGCTAAAAACTTCAAGAAGACAGGGCAGAAGTTGCGTCATGCCATTCTGAAGGGAGAATCTGAAATACTTGATTTTCTCCACCAGTAACTCGGATGGATTTGAACATGGCAGTTCCAAAGTAGGAGGCAGCCATAAGCCATCATTGGGTTGCAAGTTACTATAAAAAGTGTCCTCATGCTCTGGGATGAGATTTCAAGCAGCCATCACTTTAAGTTCTTACTTACACGACGCCTGCAGCAAGACGCACTTGAGAACGTTTTTGGAGCTATATACGACAAATGCTGGGCTGCTACACAAACCCAAATGTGCATCAGTTCACCTCAGGACTAAAACACCTCCGGATAAAGAAACTGTTCAAACTGTCGGACAATAAAAACGTAGAGGATGACAAGGCTGGGACCTCCTAAAGGAGTTGCAAATATCTTCGCACCATGAAAATTTATTTTCAGACATTGTGGAATGTCTTCCAATTGATAACTTCCCGCCACTAGAGGATATTTCTGAGCTGGCATCAGACATCAGGTCTAACATAACTGATGACTCGTCAACTTTTTATTACGTTTGGAGCTATTTGATCAAGCTTTTGCTTGAACAGACAACTTACAGCTGTGGCGGTTGACAGCTGCTATCGGATGAGTCTAATAACTTGACGAGGCCTCACCAGTACTGTCTTGTTCCTAAAGCATACCACTTGCCTGGAAAATTCTTCGGGAACTTAGTAGTACC